CCTCGCCGGCCCACACTCGGAGGTGACCAAGCCGGAGGCGGCCGAGCCCCCGTCCCCAGCGGGGGGCGAACATGGCGCGCCCCTCTCACGCAGTCTCAGATCACCTCAGGCACAGGCCGGTTGCACCCCCACCAAATGACTTGGTCCTGCGCCGGCGCAAGTCCAAAGAGAGAAGTTTGGGGGGGACTTGCTGGAGGAGAGCAAGCCTGCTCCGTGTACCCAGGAATCGACGCCTCAGCGCCAAGTTGCAATTTCAAAGCAGTGCCTACCCTCCCAGACCCGAACTTCTCTCCTACCACCGCCCCTTTCGCAAAGGCAGATGGGATAGGTAGTTCTAAAGCGAGCCAAACAGCAAGGGTTCGGGGTGCTCAGAAACTACATATCCCAGGAGGCAATGTGCAGGGTGGAACGCGAGTGAGAGCAGGAGTTAGGTAGATTGTGCTCGGAAAACCATTAGCCATTGGAGGGACGGAAAAATGGGTTACGTGGAAGTTCAGCTGGCCAATGGAAAGCGCGGAAGGGGCAAGGTGGGCAAGGCTGTGTGGTTTCCATGGATACCGAGGACGCGACTTCTTTGGAGAGAGTGGAGCTTTAGAGTGAGCTTTGAAGGCCATAACCCACGGAGCTTAAATAAAGATCAGTACCAAGGGAAGGAGTGAGAAACTGCGAGTTTAAAGGTGAGAACTAGATGCAAACTAGGAGTACCCTCAGTGGGTGGTTAGGTCCAAACTTCACTAAACTGGAACGGGGTATCTTGGGATGGAGAATCCCTTCAAGAGGATAAAAAGCCAGATTGGGACTCTTTGAGGGAACGTCCTCTTTGGCAGAATAAATTGGAATAGAGTTAGAGTCCTCTCATTCTGACTCTAAGTGATCTTGGGCCAGTCATGGGACGTCTTTGTGTTTTCATTGCTCGCTTTTAAAATGAGGTCAATAATACCTTCCTTGACTTGCCTCAAAAGGTTTTTGTAAGGATCAAATGAAGATAATGGGCAGGCCATTTCAACAATGTAAAGGACTGTATTTTTATTTTAGGAATAGCATTGACTCTTAAGTTACCAAGAAAAATCTGAGAGTTCAGGACTTGTGTTGACAGCAGCACTGATCTCTTGTCTACAAATAATCTTTAGTTTTAGGACTAAAATAAGATACAAAAAAGAGAGTCAACGTAATGCAATGGGAAGAACATGGGACTGATTGTTTTCCTGGCTCTGCCCCTGATTTATTTGTGCCACCTGGATCTGTTTCTTCAACCTTAAGATGAAGAGGGATTTGTACTCAATGACTCTATGAGGTCTTTCTTACCTTTTATTATTCTGTGGGTAATTAAAAAGATGAAAAAGAATTTTTTTTCTCCTTTTCTGTTTATTTTTACTTTTCAGTGCCACTTCCTCCTCCTACAAATTATTCTCTAAGTTCTCAGCAAAGACACACTGCAAACAATGATGTTTAATATAATGCAAGTGTAGCCCTAACAGGTTTGACTCAGTGGATAGAGCATCGGCCTGTGGACTCAGGGTCCCAGGTTCGATTCCGGTCGAGGGCATGTACCTTGGTAGCGGACACATCCCCAATAGGAGGTGTGCAGGATGAAGCTGATTGATGTTTCTCTTTCATCGATGTTTCTAACTCTATCTCTCTCCCTTCCTCTCTGTAAAATAACATATATTTAAATATATATATTTAAATAACATATATTTAAATATATATATATTTAAAATAACATATATTTAAATATATATATATATATTGCAAGTGTAGAAACTGGATGCCTTAAAGAAATTGACACCCTTGGCCAAGTGCAATAACCAGAATTACTGGGGGTTAGAGTGATAGATGTGGGCTAAATTCCTCATGATGTGAGCTAAAGCCTTTACAGGCCCAAGTCACAGGGTTCTTTGCTACCCATTACCTTTTTTAAATTTTAGTACTTTCTTAAGTTATTCTTTGCTCCTTTCTATTATAGTCCTTCCTCCTTCCTTATTCTTCCTTTTATGAAGGCTCACAATAGGTACTAGCTTTTAAGTTTACCAAGTTCCCACTAAAAACTGGTTATATTCTGGGCTTTTGTGTCATTTTGTCTGAACTTCAAACTGTTTTTTTTAATGAAAACCCATGAGAAAAACTTGGAAAAATAACTCAAAAAAGGTGTTGGTTTAAACAAGTTGAGAATGTGTTCAAATTTGTTGTACACGTGCCTTATATTTTTAGATTAAATAGGAATTTCTAATAGATCATTTTGTTTCTATGATAATTTCTTTTCTGAGACAAACCAAGTAAATGGAATTGGCAATTGACCCTTAATTGCCTATATGAGAAAATGATTATTTTATTATTTTAACGTAAATACAATAAAACTAAAGATAATTGAAAAATTACTTTTTGATCACATAAGTTTGAAAATTGAGAAAATTATTGATAATTAAGATTACTACAAGATATTAAAAAGTTATTGATACCTGGCCGGTATGGCTTAGTTGGTTAGGATGGCATCCTGTACACCGAAGAGTGACAGGTTTGATTCCCAGTCAAGGCACATACCCAGGTTGAGGGTTCGAGTCCCCAGTTGGGGAGCATACGGAAGGCAGCCAATCATTTCTCTCTCACATCGATGTATCTCTCTTTGTCTCTCTCTCTTTCCTCTCTCTAAAAATCAATGGAAAAACATTGATTTTAAAAAAATGTTATTGATACTTTAAAAAGTCTAATGATTTATATATCAAATCTGGCCTCATGTTAATAATGACTAATAAAAATACTACCTTCCATCTGTATGACATTATGGTTTTCAGAGCATGTTCACATGTATCATCTCAGGGTAACCTCACAAAACATTGTGTTTAGCAGGGCAAGTATTATTATCCTCACATTAGAGATGAGAAAACAAATTCAGAAAGTTTAAGATTAAACAGTTAAAGGATCTGGCCCTTTTGCCACTTTATCAAAAGGTCCTATCTTCTTTTTTTTTTTAATATATTTTTTATTGATTAAGAAATTACATATGTGTCCTTGTCCCCACGTTACCCTCTACCCCCCCCGCTCTTGCCCTCCCCCCCCGTTGTCCGGGTCCCTTGGTTAGGCCTCTATGCCTGCATGTAAGTTCTTTGGTTGCTCTTTCCCCCTTACCCCCCCCCTCCCCTACCCTCCCTCAGTCCCTGTTTTCAAAGTATTTCTG